CCTCCTCCTCCTCCTCCTCCTCGAGCCTGGCGCCCGCGGGGCCGGCAGATGGACGGCTCCTCCAGCCGGCGCTTGAAGCTGTCGCGGAGGGCCAGCGCGCAGGCGGCCTTCTGCGACCTGCCCCGCTCGGCCCCGTGCAGCCCTCGGCCCCGTGCGGTCCTCCAGCTCCTCCTCCCCATCCGGAGGTGGAGGAGGGGGGGTCCTTCTCCTTCGCACGTGCCCCCCTGGCTCGCCGCCGACCCACAGTCGGACTTGACTGGAGAAGGCACGCGAGAGGACACGAGGCCCGTCCGAGAGCCACGTTGCTGTAGGAATGCAGGAGGCATGGTCCGCGAGACACGGGACACCAGGGTACCCTTGCTTTGGCAGGGTCGGCCAGCGAATCAGGGCCGACTGTATCTCAGGCCAGGGCTGAACCTAAACGGTGTTTTCGTTTTCGTGTTGTTCTCGTTTTCCCTTGTTTTGTCTTCAATCCACCTCTACCGCAAAACGAAATCGAAACGAAAACGGCCCACGAAAATCGCCGAGATCGCCACAACGGCCCACGAATTAGGTCCAGCCCTGTCTCAGGCTTCGTGGGGTTTCGAATGGGCCAGAAAAATCTGGGGCCCAGCCCTGGGATGTGCGAGGAAGGGGGCGTCCGTCCTCGAGAGGGGTGCGTCCGCACAGCCCCCTGGAGGCGCAGTCCTGCGTCTCCTCGCTCCTGCGGAGCGGCCGACCTCTTCGGGCGAAGCTCGGGGACCGCGGGGGAGAGAAATCGCCCGCGACCACGGACCTCCCCGGCCATCCGGTGCCTGCACTCGGTTCCGTGCGGGGCCCCCGAGGTCTCGGCCCCGACCCCCCGCGTCGGCCGTCCACGGCGAGCCGCCTTTTTCTGGACGGCCCCCGGGCGTTGGCGAGGGCAGAGGCCGAAAACTGTGCAGAACCTCCGTCGACGTCTGGCTCCTGAGGGTGGTGGCGCGGGGAACTGCTCGGGGCCCCTCTCGGAAGGGCTGCTCGCCCGTCGGTCGCCCATGTAACAATGACATGCGACGCATTGATCTCTTCAATGCTGAGGGGGGCCCAGGATCACACAAATGAACAGACTCAAATCCCAAGGTCCCCCATATTTCTCAATATTTTCGGGGTGCTCGTCTTCCCCGTCCGCTTCGCGCAGGTTCCCATATTCACCGGGGAACCGACGATTGATTGTGTCTGTGTGTTTTTGTTTCTCTCCCCTCCTGAAGTACGCGGTCCCCACGAGTACCGACCGCGAGAGAGCTCTCCGTCGTATCGTTTGACCTCGACGCGAGCACGCCTGGGCCCGCGACCACACGAGGCCGTCGTTCCAGGCGGCCGCCACCGGGCCGAGCGCCCGGGGCAGCAGGCCGGGCCCGACGAACTCGTCGGGGAAGCTGTCGAACAGCAGGTCGGTGATGGCGTCGAGGTCGCACTCCTTCTCGGGTGCTGCCAAGCCAGCCGAACGACCAAAGATCACAGCATAATCTCAAGACGAGGCCAGCACGGGGACAGAGCCGGACGGGCTAGATCGGGGACCTCTGAGATGCGGCGGCTGTCGAAGATGCGTGAATAGATGAAGAACGTACCACTAAACAAACTACGTGTATACATATATCGCCGATACTAGATATATAGATCAGGCATATACATATGGTACTTCAGAGTAGAATCGGTACATATACAACTAGAACCACGCGCGCGCTTCGCGCGCGCTTAGGTTCTGTCGAGTCACAGATCCAGGAATCGTTGCGAGAAGAAATTGGTGACGCGAAGCGTCTTGGGGGCGTCCTTGGATGTCTGGGGTCTCCTGGGGCCTCTTGAGGGGCCTCCTTGGGGCCTCCTGGCGGCCTCTTGGGGCGGAAGGCTCGAGCTTGCGGTTCGTGGTCCCCCTCTGGGCCCCCTCTTGGGCCCGTCTTGGGGCCCTCTTGGGCCATCTTGGGCGCCTCTTGGGCCGTCTTGGGGCCCTCTTGGGCTGTCCTGGGGCCCTCTGGGAACCTTCTTGGGCCGTCTTGGGGCGGTCTTGGGCGCCTCTTGGGCCGTCCTGTAACGTCGGAAAGCCCAAAAGACAACTTTGTTGAAATGTACGTTTTACGAAGGGAATGGGCCAATTTTTGCGTCTAGGGGCCCTCTTGGGACGCATGTTGGAGGCTTCTTGGGGCCTCTTGGGGGCGTCCTTGGACGTCTGGGGTCTCCTGGGGCCTCTTGAGGGGCCTCCTGGGGGCCTCCTGGCGGCCTCTTGGGGCGGAAGGCTCGAGCTTGCGGTTCGTGGTCCCCCTCTGGGCCCCCTCTTGGGCCCGTCTTGGGGCCCTCTTGGGCCATCTTGGGCGCCTCTTGGGCCGTCTTGGGGCCCTCTTGGGCTGTCCTGGGGCCCTCTTGGAAGCTTCTTGGGCCGTCTTGGGGCGGTCTTGGGCGCCTCTTGGGCCGTCCTGTAACGTCGGAAAACCCAAAAGACAACTTTGTTGAACATGTACGTTTTACGAAGGGAATGGGCCAATTCTTGCGTCTAGGGGCCCTCTTGGGACGCATGTTGGAGGCTTCTTGGGGCCTCTTGGGGGCGTCCTTGGACGTCTGGGGTCTCCTGGGGCCTCTTGAGGGGCCTCCTGGGGGCCTCCTGGCGGCCTCTTGGGGCGGAAGGCTCGAGCTTGCGGTTCGTGGTCCCCCTCTGGGCCCCCTCTTGGGCCCGTCTTGGGGCCCTCTTGGGCCATCTTGGGCGCCTCTTGGGCCGTCTTGGGGCCCTCTTGGGCTGTCCTGGGGCCCTCTGGGAAGCTTCTTGGGCCGTCTTGGGGCGGTCTTGGGCGCCTCTTGGGCCGTCCTGTAACGTCGGAAAGCCCAAAAGACAACTTTGTTGAAAATGTACGTTTTACGAAGGGAATGGGCCAATTGTTGCGTCTAGGGGCCCTCTTGGGACGCATGTTGGAGGCTTCTTGGGGCCTCTTGGGGGCGTCCTTGGACGTCTGGAGGCCATCTTCAGCATCTCGGAGCCCTCTTGGAAGCCTCTTGGAAGTTTCTTGGGCCGTCTTGGGCGCTTCTTGGGCCGTCTTGTCTGACTGGGGAGGCCTCCGGCAAGCCCCGACGAGCCTCCGGGCCCCCCGGGGCGCACATTTGTGGTCGAGGTCCCGGCCCCGGGCCCCCGGACCCGGTGCGCCGTTATATGTATATATAAAAATATAGATATACTACAACAATCGCGTGCACATCGAGCGCACGCAGGTTCTAACTAGGCTGCACGGTCGAACTCTCTCTCGGGGGGCTCTATGTTATGATAGCTCTTCTCCGGGGCGTCTAAGAACCACGATGACGGCATAAGTGGCTTCCAAGACTTCCTACGGACCACCCACGGCGGCATAAGACTGGCCCAGGAGGTACTTCGGGGGCTCCTCTCTTCGCCGTGGCTGGACGTAGCCAGAGGGCGAGGGAGGAACAGGCGGGGGTGAAGGGGTTTTGTAGGGGAGGAGGAGGAGGAGGAGGAGGACAAGTGTAAACCCAAGAGTCATCAACGATGTTGGAATTCACCCTCCCTCCAAGTTCCCTCGTCACTGGCCCCTACAAGGGTTCATTTCCAGTGAGGGAACTGCCTCGTTGGGAGAAAACCGTTTGAAGACCCTGAAGCATGCCAACAGCATTCTCGGGGCTCCAACGCCAAGGATCAACCTGATTGTTGCGCCTTGACGATCCTGAATCGTGCCGTAACACCATCTCTGGGGTGTATCCCAGGGTGTTCCTTCGTTTCTGAGCGGCGTCATGTTTCGTCGAGAAGGGGGTTTGGGGAGAAACATTGCCTGCGATACTTGGCGGCGAGCGCGGGGGGAAGTGCGAAGGGGCGGGCCTTCTCACAAGGCTCGGCCCTTCTGACTCCTCCTCTTCATCCTCCTCCGCCTTCTCCTCCTCCTCCTCCACCAGCCTCCTCCAGTTTTCTTGTTTTGTTCCTCCTCCTCCTCCTCCTCCTCCTCCTCCTCCTCCTCCTCCTCCTCTGGCCTCCTCCTCTGGCCTCCTCCTCTGGCCTCCTCCTCCTCCTCCTCCTCCTCCTCCTCCTCCTCCTCCTCCTCCTCGTGTCTCCTCGCCAGCACCAAGTGCCCCTCTCCACAGCAAGGGGGCAGGCGCCGCGCCCCGAGCCGCCGCTACACTCCTGACGCGCTCTTCCCCCCCTCCCCTGCACGGTTTTCCCCGGGATCGTAGGCGGCTCGAGGAGGGGGAGGAGGGGGAGGAGGAGGAGGAGGAGGAGGAGGAGGAGGAGGAGAGGAGGAGGAGAGGAGGAATAGGGGAGGAGGAGGAGGAGGAGGAGGAGGAGGAGGGAGGAGGAGGAGGGAGGAGGAGGAGGAGGAGGAGGAGGAGGAGGGGTCGCCTAAGCCCTTCGGAGAAACCCTCCACCCACCCACCCGCGCGAAGAAAGGCCAGCGAGGGGGGCCTCCCGCCGGAGGCCGAGGGGCTGTGCGAAGACATCCCTGCTCGATGTGTCCACGTGTCAGACGGGGCCCTCAGGGGCACACAGAAGTCAACAGGTGAACGTTTTCTTATCTGACGTTTCGACACCGGGCGGAAGGGGGGGAGGGGGCGGGGTCTGGCTCCGGACCTCTGCTGAATGCGACTGCTTGCAACAGTGCGTCCTGCAGGGGGTGGGGAGGCTCCGCCTGCTTGAAACAGGCGCCAAAAAACAACCAAGATCTACTCCGCGGGGGGGGGTGCAAGGGCCCGCGCCGATCGGCAAAACAATGAATAAGGAAACGATCACCACACATCCCAAGATTCCCCATGTGTTTCATAGTTGCTGGATGCTCGTCTTCCCCTCCGCTTGCCACCAGGAGCACCCAAAAGTCAGTCGGAAGGCACCTCGGCCCGAGGCTGGAGAGAGCCTCCGGGAGTAGAGTGGCGGGCCCTCAAGGGGGGGCTCCGAGCAGGTGGGGTCGGAAGATCGCGCCGCATCGGCAAGGCATCGGCGATGCATCGGCAGCACATAACCGACGCCGCGGACGCGCAGGAAACGTCGGCGCAAGGAACATCGGGCTCCACATCGAGCCGCATCGCCGGTGCATCGGCGATACGGCAAGGTCCTCCGACTGCATCCACTCGGACCCCATCATGATGAGCAATAAAAGTACCCCTATCCCATCGGGAGCGGACCTAAATTAAGAGTAGCGTGAGTCTTCTTTGCAGATGCGGGGACCTAATTTAGGCCACATCTTCATTGTTTCACTAGGGTTAGAAGTCCTCGTATTCTCGATGACATCTGGGCGGCCTAGACCCGCGCCGATCCCAGAACTCCGCCCGGAGCTCCTAGGTGGCCACATGTAAAACCTACCCCCACCCCCCACGATTTCTAAAGAGGGTGGTCACTCCGCTCGGAAGCTCCCGAAGCGAACCCTTAGCTCACCCTCAAAAATCGTTGGAGGGGGTAGGGTTCACATGTGGCCACGGAGCTCCGACAACTTACGCCTACAGTCGGACCTGGGACAGAAGAGCATCCTTCAACAAAAGTGAGGCCGTCCACCAGCCAAAACACACAGAACATCCAAGGGTACCCCGCCCAAAGAATGCACAAGACGAGCACCCAACAGACACAAAGAACAACAGGGTACCCTCCCCGAACCGACCTCGATCTTACGCCGCGTCCCGAGTGCAGTCTCGACGGCATCGGGGAGGCCCAGACCCGCGCCGATCCAAGAACTCCGCGCGGAGCCTCGACAACCTGTGTCTATGCAGGCTGCTCTTCTTCGAACGCTCTTTTACTCGCGGCCACAACGGGCGGCATGGGGGGGGAGGGGAGGGGACAGGAGGGGGCATATAGCGTTAGGTCGGGCGTGTCCCTCTGCAGGCGGACTTTGGACGACAACTTAAAGACACCCAAAGTAATGTCCCACCAATACTCAAAAATACTTAAAAAATCGTCGCCATACTATTTTTGTACTATTTTTGAATATTCCCCCTGTAGAGGGACAGGCCCGACTTAAATATAGCGCCCCCATCCCAAGCCTGTGGTGCCCGACGGACGCACTGCGGCAGTGCCGGGGGCGCACTGGGGGGGGGAGGGGGGGCGGGCGTCACGTTATGGGGGGGGGAAAAAGATCGGGGGCGCGCAAACATGGATTAGCGATCCATGGATTTGGCGCGCGGTCGCCAAATCCATGGATCGGGGGAGCTGCCCTCCCCAAAATGCGGCAGGTGCCGCCCCGTTCGGCGGCGGAAATCCGCGATGTCCCATGGAAACGGGACCCGCCGCTGATCCACGCCCCCTTGATCCATGCTTGCGATCGCCTGAGAAGAGAGGGAGGGCAGCGGGCACAACCCGCGTTATGACCCCGAGGGTAAAAAAGTTGTTTCGTGCTCTTCTGAAGGGGCCCTGGGATATATATATATATATATATATATATATATATATTGTTATATACACACGAGTAACAGGATTCCCCATAGTTTCCAATATTTTCTGGGCTCTTGTCTTCCCCCCAACTTCCCATATTTTCCCACACTTTCTGGGGCATCGACGATTAATTGCGTCTGTGTTTTTTGTCTAGAGGTCTCCTAGATGGGGTCGGAGTAGATGGGGCCGAAAGATCGCGCCGCATCGGCGATACATCGGCAATGCATCGGCGATGCATTGGCGATACATCGGTGATGCACCGGCAATGCATCGGCATCGGCGACGTCGGCGATGCATCGGCGACGTCCGCGCGAAGCAAATCGGGCTCCACACTGAGCCGCCTCGTTGATGCGTCGGCGACGGAGATACGACGCGTTCCTTCGACCCCGTCTCTGCTCCGACCCCATCTGGGAGGCCTAGCTTGTCCCTCCTGGATCTTCTTCGGCCCTCGGCCGCCCCCAGAGAGGACGAACGAACAGCACACGCCCATACCCATAGGGGGGTCGTTGGGAGGAGGACTGGCTATGGGTATGGGTGCGGGTTGTCGGACCCTGGGGAACGCTCCCATTCGAGCGGGGACCCCCGTCCGACAACACACACCCATGGGCGTGAGTTCGGGAGCGACCAAGAGGGGGGTGTCCAAGAGGGGGGGGTGCAAATCATGACTGGCGGCATGTGCACGGCCCAGCGGGGGGGCCAGGGACGTGATGAAAGGAGAAGAGGCGCCACGAGATCTGGGGACATATCATGGCCCCCGCCATGATATCCACCCCCCCCTGGCCATCACCCCCCTCTTTTCCGCCCCCGATGGGTGTGTGTTGCTGTAAAACAGGGCTAGGATCGGGATAAATCGCTCCAGAGCGTTCCGGAGCGCTCTCAGAGCGTTCCGGAACGCTCTGGAGCGGCCGCGGCGCCCAACACATCCTCCAAACCCACCGATTCTCAGAGATTTCGAGTTATCCCGATCCGATTTTGTCCCGATCTTCGCGTCGTTTTATGCTGGCTCGTCAAGAGGGGCGCCCGGGGCGGCCGAGGCCGGCCCCATCGCCTCCGGGATCGCCGCGGCGAGGCGGTCGAGGTCGAGCCCGCGGCCCGCGCCCGGGGCGCGGCACTGCCTCGGGGGCGGCCCACGGGGGGCGCGGCCAGGGGCCGGGGCCGGAGCCGGGGCCCGGGAGGGGTGCCTCCGCGCTAGTGGAGGGGGCCCGCGGGGCACACAAAGAAGTACACACACACACACACGACTCCCAGGATTCCCTACACTGGTGCATCTTTTCTGGGTGTTCGTCTTCCCCCCTCCACTTCCCATCTTTTCCCATGTTGTCCTGGGGATCGACGGTGAATTGTGTCCCTGTGTGGTTTATGTTCCCTCCTGAGGTATGTACAGCCGGACCCGGGACAGAAAAGCGGCCTGCAAGAGCCCGCGGCCCTCCGCTGGCCAAGCTGGAGCACAGTCGAGGGTGCCCTGCCCCAGGATGCCGAAGAAGACCCAACGAGCACGAAGAGCATTCGGGTACCCTCCCCGAACCGACCTCGATCTTTCGGCGGTGGACAAACCTCCCTTTAATAAACCACCCTTTAGTGAAAACGGCCTGGGACCGAAACCGACGGACCTGGACCCGCAAAAATGACGGCCGCGACGCCCTTTCGCGAACCGAAAACGGCCAATTTGTTTATCGACGTGTCAGGGTAGGAGGTCTGTCCACCCCCGAATCTTATGCATCGTGTCGACCGTATCATGTGTGAGGGTGATTGTAAGACAGACTCCACCCGAACAGCGCCTATCAATGTCTATCAATAGGCTGATCAGCGCCTATAAGTGCCGGCGAGCGCCTATCGGTGTCTATGAGTGTCTACTCGCGACCACGAACAAGCCGTACTAAGCGTGACTAGCCGGGGAAGACAACAATGCATGCGTAATGGCTCACGCATGGCACACCTAACATCCGCCACCGTGCCTCGGTGTCCTTCGAAAGATAGGCAAACCAAGAAGCTGCAAAGCATACATGTTCCGAGCTCCGCGCGGATTTCTGGGACCGGTGCTGTGCATCCTGGCAGCGCCTCCGGCGCCGCCGCCGACTCCGCGCGACGGGGAGCGGAGTCCAGCGCAGATCCAAGAAATCCGCGCGGACCTCCGAAAGTCTACGGCAGGTTCGTGTCGTGCCGACCCCAGCGTTGGTTTTTGACACCGCGCTGGATCGTTCAACCTTGAACGATCGGCCGCTGCCGCAACGTCCGATCGTTCAACATCGATCGATTCTGGGTCGCCGGCGGCGTTCAACCTTGAACGCCCGCGCTAGGGTCGCCGCTGGTCGACACGACGCGGACCTACCGTATGCTGATGCAGCAGTTCCATCTTCGACCGAGCGTCCTCGTGTCTGCCGAGGCTGCCGTTCCCGCGCCCATGGCACTTGGAGCAACACGGGGGAGGAGGAGGAGGAGGAGGAGGAGGAGGAGGAGGAGGAGGAGGAGGAGGAGGAGGAGGAGGCCCCGAGGCCCGATGTGGCCGGAAAATCTCTCTGGGGCGTGCCGCAGCGCTGTCCGCGCAGAGCTCTCTCGGGACTCCTCGCGCGACCTCTCCCGCGGCCAGTGATGTCCCAGGACGGGCACAGGGGGCCCTGGTCCCCCCCCTCCGTCCTCCTCCTCCTCCTCCTCCTCCTCCTCCTCCTCCTCCTCCTCCTCCTCCCCTCCTCCTCCTCCTCCTCCCCCTCCTCCTCCTCCTCCTCCTCCTCCTCCTCCTCCTCCTCCTCCTCCTCCTCCCACTCCTCCCCCCCAGGACGATCCCAGAGGGCCCCAGAAACGACCCGGGCCCTGGTCGACGAACTCAGAGGCTCCTCTCCGAAGCCGTTGAAGGCTCTCAACGACTTCTGCCGTCCTTCGACTCGCGCTGGAGCGGCCGCGAGTTGCTCCAATGTTCTCGGGTGATCTCTGGATTTGCCTGAACTTGCCCGGACTCATCTCGATCTGCCTGGATCTATCTCGGTGTACCTGGATCTGCCGGGATCTCTCTGGCCCGATCCCCACAAGTCGATTGGCAAAAAGGCGACAAGCCCTGAGGGACAAAGCGCGCTCCTCGGGGGCGGCCAAGAGGGGGGTGTCCACGAGGGGGGGGTGCAAATCATGACTGGCGGAACGTGCGCGGCCCATGGCGGGGGGGCCAGGCAGCGTACCGAAACGAGAAGAGGCGCCATGAACTCTGGGAAAGAATCCTGGCCTCCGCCACGATCCCCCCCCCCCCCAGCCATCACCCCCCTCTCTGCCGCCCCCGCGCTCTGGAGCGGGCCCCCTGGGCCCCGGAAGCCCTCCCGAGGGGCCGAGGCGGGCGGCGCCTCTGGGGCCGCGCCCCGCCGCGGCTTCGCGCGCGGGGCGCCCCGTGTCCTCCCTCGCTGGCAGGGGCCTGGCCCCCGCTCGGGCGTCCGCTCCCCGTGTTTTTGTTCCGGCCTCGCGCGCGGATGTTTCGCCGGGGCGTCCGCTCCCTGTGCTTCTCTTTGTCGGCTTCGCGCGCGATTCTTTTCGCCAAATGATCCTCCTCCTCCTCCTCCTCCTCCTCCATCCTCCCTCCTCCTCCTCCTCCTCCTCCTCCTCCTCCTCCTCATCCTCCTCCTCCTCCTCCTCCTCCTCACATCCCTTCCCCTCCTCCTCCACCTCCTCCTCCTCCCTTCCCCTCCTCCTCCACCCCCCCTCTCCCAGCACTGCGCGCTCACGCGCGCGGGGATGTAGGCAGGGGTAGGGAGGAGGAGGAGGAGGAGGAGGAGGAGGAGGAGGAGGAGGAGGGATGCTCTTTAATAATCCCCGCCGAGAAAAGGTGCACACGTCCGAGCGATACCGAAGGAGCCCGGCGTTGGGAGGGGCCCCAGGCGAAGGAGGGCCCTCAGTCGGGAGGGCCAAGAACACTAGGGACCAGGTCGGGCCTGTCCCCCTGCAGGGGGAGTTCGGGCGACAAGTTGAACATACCCTAAGATATGCAAAAAATCTTCAACAGTAGTAACATTATCGTTCCCATACTATTTTTGGACTATTTTGGATACTCCCGCTGTAGAGGGACAGGCCCACCTTAACATTAGAAGGACCCCTGAGTAAGGAGGGACCCTAGGCTAAGACTATAAGTCAGGGGGGCCAAGAACACCAGGGCTGGGGGGCCTTTTTCTGCAGATGTATCGAACGACACCGCCCAAGTTCAAGATCCCTGGTGCAAAGACGGGAACCTCAGCGAGTTGTCCTCGCTGACTCCCCTCTGCCTGCTGACCGCATCCCGTGCTGGGCCACCTCGGCCCCCCGCTGTAGAGGAACAAGCAAGCAAGCAAGCAAACAAAGGCCATGCATCCTGAAGGGCGCGTCGGCATACTCGAAGTTGCGCCATAGGCAACCGAGTGAGACAATGAAAGCATCAGTGCGTCGAAACAAGTGTAGAGGAACAAACACGGCACAAACAGAAACCTTCGACCGTCGGCGCGGATCTCCCTGACCTGGGCTGGACCCCCCCCCCTGGGCGCGCGGAGCGCGCCCAGGAGCGGCGGCGGAGGCGCCGCCAGGGGGGGCCCGGCGAAGATCCAGGAACTCCGCGCGAGGCTCCGGAATCCCATGCCGGGCTGTCTGTCCTCCTTCGAGCCTCGGCCCCCCTCTGAGGCTCCCCGCTGCCCCCGCCTCCTCCGCGCCGGAGCTCCCGCCGCCCGATCCTTCGCCCGTCCCTGGCGGCCCCAGGTGCAGCCCGCCGCCGCCAGCCCCGCGGGGCGGCGCGGCAGCCATCAGCTGGCTCAGCGGCACCTCAGGCGTGAAGCAGGCGGGCGCTGAGGGGAACTGCGAAGCGAAGAAGGAAAAGGAGGAGGAGGAGGAGGAGGAGAAGAAGAAAGGAGTGGGGAAGAGGATGAGGGGAGGAGGAGGAGGAGGCTTTAGACTGGAGGAGCGCGAAAGCGCGGGGGAGGGAAACAAAGAGGCTCCGACCACCTGAGTTGGCGGGCCTGAACACCGAGGGGTCGGAACGATCTCCTTGCGCTGACACTCCTTTCGGTGGTTCGCGCTCTCTGCTGGGGAAATTTGCCGATCAGAAACGCCGCAATCTTATGCCGTCCACGGGATGTGATTTGCCCCCCTCGGGCTACCGTGCAGGAGCTACCAAGCCCCACTCTCATAACTCGAGCAACAGAATAGTGTACACAAGCTCCCCCCCCAAAAAACACCCCCCTTCCCCAACTCCCCTCTGGATCCTGTGGGGGGGGTGGATTTCACTCCCTTTAAAAGCCGAAGGGGGGGGCGGTCGCAAATTGCCAAAACACGGGGTCCGAAGAAAATCTAAACAAAATTTCCTCCGAGTGCGTCCGTAGCACTGAGAGCACTGCCAGAAAGGGTCTGTGAGGGTTCGAGATCTGATGCTCGGACTCCATCAGCGCTGCGTTAAGCTTAACAGCATTTTTGACCACCGCGGGGACATTGGACCTTGCCACCAAAAACCCTGGGCGGTGGCGGGGCCCGAAACTGCGCCGAATCCAGCATGACGGCGACGAGGTGCCTCCGAACCCTGAACGCCACAGCTTGGACAAGGACCGCGCCGGCGATCTGAGCGCAGGGGAGCTGTGCCTCCTCCGCTCCGAGACCGGCGAGCTCATCTACCTGCTTATCCGCATGCCAATGCACAAGAGAGAAACCCTTCTGTTGGGCTTCCTCAGCGGACAGGCGGGATTCATCCCAAAAAACGTCAACCTGAACACCAGCACACTCTCTGAATACTCGTTCGATCGCCAGACAGTCCGCACGATGGAAGAAACCCTCGACGGAGTTCGTAAACATTCCTCACAACATACGTGCTGTCAGTAACATACTGGCGGGTGGAAAAAACCGGGTAGGCTGCTCTCATCTGGAGGAAAACGAAAAGGCCGGAAGAACACGAGAGGTCCCACGAGGAGAGGTCGAGGTCCAGAGGAGGGGATTGATCGAGGGGGGGATCAACTTGGATCCAGCCTGCTGGAATTAAACCACGATGCCAAATGCAGGGTCGGTTCTCGCATTCTTCCCTAGCGCGATCAATTAAAGCCTGCGGGACACAGTGCTCTAACTCTAGGTTATAAGGGCATTCCCAATGAGCGTGCTTCGGGGTCTCGGAAGCCTGCCTACATCGGGGACAGAGAGGCTCGACCTCGGGACGTATATCATACACCCTCTGGGCTGGCCAGATGTGGCCTGTAGCAGTCGCCTGCAGGGCCCCGGAAGACGAGTTGCCCCCGTCCTTGCGGAGCCTCCTAAGAAACCTTATCAGGGAATCCATGCGTGGGACTCCCCTCTCCAGGCCAACACCTGAGCACTCGTTGCCAGCAGTCTGCCACATGGACCGCTGAGTCGAATGCGACAACAACCGATCTAAAACCAAAAGTCCAGGTCCCTGACCGCGTGTTTCTCGGTCGGGGCAAAAAACTCAACGTTGTCAGGGCTGCGCCAATCCCGGGGCCCTAAAGGCCCCTAGTCATTGCGCGGCAGAAGGCAGACCGTGGCGGAGCAAATGCCACTCACATGGAAGTAGCGGGCGGACGGCTTCCTGCCTTCGAGGCCGGCGACCACCCTGTTCCGCGCGCGCGTGATGAGCTCTCTGTTGATGTCACAGGTCGCTAGGACCATAATCACGAGTTCATGACGTCCATTGTCGTCGTGATGGCAGGACCCTTGTGCCCCATGTCCAACTGAAGCTGAGCGGTCAGCGACCTCTGCGAAGTGGTGCGCTTCAGGAAATCCCCCAGTGTACGCCGCCACTGCAGCAGCGCTGTAGGCAGAGTACCGTAATCTTTGCCAGCGCAGGAAACACGCGGCACGGCAGCTGCGGTCGCCAAACGCAAAGCAATCCTCTTGTGGGCCAGACTCCCTCGGGAAATATTTGCTAATTTGGTGGGCCGGAGCCGCGCCTTTTCAATTCTCTTGTCGCGCCGAACCCTGCGTCCTCGAATGCGCCCTCGATCAACGCCAAGATCCACGGCCGCCTCCTTGAGCGGGGCCTTGAGGCCGAGAGCCTTCAGCTTGGACTCGAGCAGACAGCCCGCCGTCTTGCTGGAACTGGGGGCGACAGACGCGGGCGAGATGGCGAGGCCCAGCTTCATGCACGACTCCGATAGCACTTTAAAAACACCAACGAGCTGCTTGACCGCAAACTTCCGTGGTGCAACTATCCTCGTATTCGAGTCGTCCACCCATGACCTGACTGTGACGGACCTGAGAGAACTGCCCATTCTCGCCAGCGTGCGATAAATAATTCATCTTGAAACATCCACTGCGTAACGAATGCCCGCCAGCTCTGCACGCCGCGGCTGAATGGGGCACGAGAAGTTCCCCGACTTCTTGAGGATGCAGGGGGGGGGGGGGGGAGGGGCGAAGCGCTGCTGCGTGGCGAGGGGGGGGGGGGGGCGCGAGGGAAAGTCGAGCTCGTCTGCCGCGCCCACGTGGCGCAGCCAATCCAGGGAATCGTAGAGAGCCTTGAGGCCCCAGAGACCTGCCATGCGAATAAGACCCTTGAGCGGCGAAGCCTCCACCGCCTCGCCTTCGAAATTGCGAATCAGAACTGCGCGCAATGAGGGGGGGCCTGCAATGGCGCCGCCCTACTGGCTTGCAGCCTTCTCACACCATTCACGATCCAGCAGGCTGCGGGTAGCTCCCCAAACACGAACCAACAAAGCCGCGATGCCGATGGCGCAGCCATCGTCCGTCGACTTGGGCAAGAGACTGGTAAAGGCCGTCATGAGATGCCAAGGCCATGATTCTCGCTGCTCCACTTGATCGTACAAATCAATGAGATCGGAGCCCATCATCAGGAAGTCGGCGTAGGCCATTGATGCTGAGAGCTTCGCATCCTCTATCATGCCTGGGAGAAATACGCATGAGGGTTCTCCTAAGAGGTTCCACAATGATGGGCTCTACTTCGGCGTCCTTTGCCTCCCCCTGCACATGACGGCAGGCATCGACAACTCTGGCTGGAACAAATCGGGCACTAACCCATTGCTGCTCTCACCATTCCTGTTTGACCTTCGTGATTTCTTAAGGGTAGGTGGTCGCATTCTGCGCTGCAGCGATCTCGTTGATGGTGGCTGCGGGATGTCTGAAAGAATCAGACAGCCCGCCATGCGAAGTCAAAGACATCGAAAGAATCTGCGAATCAAACCTCTTCGAGTTGCCGTGGCTGGGAAACGCTGCGCACGTGCTGAATGGTTCTCAACAGATTGCAGTAGTCGCTTCCTCTGCGCGAGATCGCAATCCTGTATTTCGTGTAAGATACCACTCCGTTTGTGGCGAGGAGAGGATGACAGGGGAAGAACCGTAGAGGTAAGTATAGCGGCGATCATCTTCCTGACGCGCGCAACTATCAACAGCTCTCTCCTTCCATCTCCGTCCGCTCGCACAAGTTCCTGAAGCTGAAAAACGAGTTGGGTCCACCATTTAGCAGCTGGGTCGGTCTGCATCTGAAAACCCTTGGCCCCCTTGATGGGCGCGATGCGAAGCGGTCTCGCCCACTGCGAGACAGACTCGTCTCCGTGGGAATGCTGTGGCCCTGGATGCAGAACTCCCCCAGGTTGGTGACCCACTTGGCGCGCCGGTTCCACAAGTCGGCGACTGCCTCGGGGCCAACCTTAAAAACCAAATATTCCTTGATAAATACCGCAGGTTGCGCTTGCGCCCAGCCTGGTGCGCGAGAGTGCCACAAATCGCTGCCCAAAAATAGGACGGGGCGCTCAGCCTGGTCATTCTGATCTGTCTCGGGAGGCTGGGCATGAGTTTCGCAAAGCTATGGGCCTGGGCCCAGCACTGGAAGACCCTCCCCCTCCTCCTCGTCGGCCGAAGATTCTTCTTCAAAGTCAAGGAAGACCAAGCGCGGAAGGGGCAGGCCTGGGGCAGGCGGTCCGAAGGTGATCTCCGCTTTCTTCTTGGTTTGCTGCAAAGCTTCGCCTCGATGCTTGCTTTTACCACGTCGAAGTCACGTCGAACCAGCGCCGAACCCACCTCGGAGTACAACAAAAACTGCAACGTACAGGACAGGAAAGGCCCCCGCAGATGCTACGCCACGAAAAAAATGCACAGTTGTATCTATAGATATACATATATATATATATATATGTATATATATATATCGACCATATATATATATGTATACAAACAACCTCCGACGAACGTTGCAAGTACCTTGAGGGAAGGTGGCGGTGTAGAACAGTCGCTGGTTCTCAGTGGTGATTGATACATCGCCACCCTCCCCTGAGGCCCAAGAACGATCCTCGCGAGGGTGCCTGTGTCTCTTTGCTTTAAGGGCGGAGACATAGCGTACCCGTCGGTCGGAAGAAGTGGGTAGGAGCATGAAGCAGGAAGGCGCTGGAAGCAGATTGGGATCCCGCCCGCCCCCTGAAGAGGAGGGAGCCCACCAATACCCACCTTCAACTACCGGCGTGTAGTTTATCTAGGGACCTCCCAATATGGGCTTTGAGTAGATGGGGTCGAAGGATCGCGCCGCATCGAGAATACATCGCGACACCGCCGTTGGTTCCCGACACCGCGGGGATCATTCACTCTTGAACGATCGGGCGTTCCAGTCACGTCAGCTCGTGCAGCATCGACCAATTCTGGGCCGCCGCCTGCGTTACACGTTGAACGCCGGCGGTGGGGTCGCCGCCTGTCGGCGCGACGCGAACCTGCCCCACTCTGGGTGGCCCAAAAGGGGGGTCCAGCTGAAAGAGAGTGGTGCAACAGAGTTAGGGCAACTGTATTGCGTAGGAGAATTGTACTGCATTGTCTTGCAACGAATGCATTGCACACGAAAACCAGCTATTCATTCGTGCCCCAGAAATGTCTTGCACGACCCCAAATCTGTTGTAACCCGCAGAGCCATTGCACCAGATCTATTGCACCACCCCCTTGCAACTGCACCCCCTTGTGGGTCAACCAAGCTAAAACAGGGCTAGGATCGGGATAAATCGATCCAGAGCGTTCCGGAGCGCTCTCAGAGCGTTCAGGAACGCTCTGGAGCGGCCGCGGCGCCCAATACATCCTCCAAACCCGCCGATTCTCAGAGATTTCGAGTTATCCCGATCCGATTTTGCCCCGATCTTCGCGTCGTTTTACAAGCACACTCCGATCCCATGCGAGCGACGGTCCAAAACCGGCCTTACGCCAGACGACACAGCGAACTTGCGCGGTGGCTTACGCGGGCCGTCGGCGCGGCACGCCGCGTCGGAGACGAGGGCGCTGACGCTCGGGTCGGGCATGTCCCCCTACAGGCGGATGTTGGACGAAAACTGAAAAAACAAAAAAAAAAAAACATCCCCACACCATTTTTTGACAATTGTTGCATCTCCCCCGTGTAGAGGGACAGGCCCGACTGGAGCTGGCGCGCGAGCTTCCGCGGGCAGCTCACGCGCCAATGTCGGCGCAGACGACCCCGCTTCCTTCCGCCGCTCCATGTGGGAGGCCCACGGTCCGGGGCGGGAATTTACACAATACCACCGCCTGGAGGGTCAGTTTTCGGAGCCTCGGCAGGCGGAGGATATGGACATGTTCGGGCCCCCGGGGGCCGATATATATATAATATATATAATACACATATATATATATATACACATATATACACCATATATATATATATTATATATATATATATATATATATATATATATCCACATCCGCCGCCCGCCGCGGCACCACAGGACGTCGCCTCCCGGGCGGTGGCCGTGGGCGAAAATCCCCGCCTCGCACCACGGGGAGCACCACGCGAGCCACGCCTCTCGGCCGAGTCCCTCCCGCTCCCTGGCAGGGATGGGGGGGCGCACCGCCGCCCGCGGCACGCCAGCGCTCCCGCGCGCGCAGCCCGCCCGCCTTCATAGGGCGCGCGCAGGGGCGGGGCGGCCCCCCCCCCCCTCCTCCTCCTCCTCCTCCTCCTCCTCCTCCCTCCTCCTCCTCCTCCTCTCCCTCCTCCTCCCTCCTCCTCCTCCCTCCTCCTCCTCCCTCCTCCTCCTCCTCCTCCTCCTCTCTCCTCCCTCCTCCTCCCTCCTCCTCTCCCTCCTCCTCTCTCCTCCCTCCTCCTTCCTCCTCCTCCTCCTCCTCCTCCTCCTCCTCCTCCTCCTCCCTTCCAGGGGCGGCCCACGGATGGGACGGTGGGAGGCACGAAGATCGGGGATGGACAGAGCTCCCTGTAGCAAAACGTGGTTCAGTGAAAACGGCCTCGGGCCCAAACCTGGCGGGCGCAAGCCTGGAAAATAACGGCCGCGGCGCCCCCTCGAGAACCGAAAACGGACAATTCACTAATCGACGTGCCAGGATGGGGTTTCTGTCCACCCCCGGAAAACATACACTAGTAGTATGTGTCCTTGCTTGGAGGCGCGCGTCCGACCCGAACATATATAAGATACCCATCTCGTGGTATGTCAGCGGCGCGACCAGGACACGCCCGCCACAACGCATATACTATAAGATTTCTCGGTGCGCGCGTCGCCCCTGGGGGGGGGGGGGGCGACGCACATATAGTAGAAGTATGTTGGGGTTACGCCAGCACGAGACCCATCAGGGAGCTCTTCTCTGGACAAGCGCGTTCCACTACTCGCAAAGGAACTACTCGCAAATGGCTTGGATCCGCCGCTGGGGATTTACGATCCACTACATAGAGGAAGACAATGGTGTCTTTGTCTGGCGTTTGCGAAGAGGCCCTAGACACTTTGCGAGTAGTGGAAGGCGCTCGGTGATTCTGGGAGCAGAACTTAGGCGGCGCCCCTGAGATCTTGGCGCTGCGATTCTTTCACGCAACGGGCGTTTTCGCCCAGGCTCGGGTCCCGGGACCCTCGAAGATCAATCTGGCTCCACTCGCCGCCGACACATGACACAGAACGATTGGGTCCATGGGGCTCCGGGCGTGATTTTTCGGATGTTGCAATTTTTGTCGCACCGTCGGATCTCAGGGGCTGCCGGGGGACCCCACGTGCCAAAAAAAACCATCGGATCCCTGGGGCGCCAGCCCCGAGTGCGCCCCCCCTCTCCAGCTGGGCCGCTGCGCGCTCAGCAGCGCCCCTCGCAAGGCAAGGATAGGGTGCTTTTTCTGCGTCATTCTCGAGCCCGATCGATCTGTAAGGGTCCTGGGGCCAGAAAATACTTTGAGTAGTACCTCAGTAGTTCTGGGCCCCCGGGCCCCCCCCCGGACTACAGGGATCCCCCCCAGACTACACGGACCCCCCCCCCGGGACTACAAGGACCCCACCCGGACTAGCGGGACCACGCCGCGGACTACAAGGACCCCCCCTGGGCTACAGCCACCACGCCCAGCACAAGAGCTACGGGATGCCACAGATAGACAATTGCCACGACCCTGAACGACGACCAAAACTCTACGACGACGACGACGACGACGACCCCTCGAACTACAGGAGCACCCCCTGGACTACAAGGGCCCACCCCCCGGACTACAAGGGCCCCCCCCGGACTACAAGGACCCCCCCGCCCGGACTACAGGGCCCCCCCCTGGACTACAGGGGCAACCCCCGGACTATTGGTCACCCCAGCTATTGATGTACCCAGAATAATCGAAAACGCCCGGATCGGTCCGACTGTACTTTCAACGACCGACGGGTACCGGAGTCTTGACTTAGAGGCCTCCTAGATGGGGCCCTAGTAAATGTCGTCGAATGATCACGCAGCGTCGCAAATGCATCGTCGATGCATCGGCGACGTCGGCGACGCGTCCGCGACGTCGGCGTGGGGAACACCGGGCTTCACATCGAGCCGCATCGTCGATGCACGGCGCGATCTTTCGACCACGTATACTCGGAACCTGTCTAGAAGAGCAGGGACCGACCGTCCCTGAAGGAATGTTCTGAGAACCAAAGCGATGTTCTTAGAACATGGACCCGATGTGACAAACAAATTCAGTCTCGGCCAGAAATGCTCTAACAGCAGATCGTGCAGACCACAAAAGGTTCTCAAAACCTCCGTTGGTGGCCCTAGATAGGCGAGCCAGGACGCTTCGCCAGTGCTTGAGCCTAGGAGGCTCGGGTCGGGCGAAAGGGGGGGATGGCAAAAGGGGGGTTTGAGAATCAGCTCACGTAGCTGATTTTCCCGACGCCTCCCGGCGCCGGGAGCGGCCATGTATCGAGGAATGGGCCCCTCGGTGAGGCCGAAACCAGCTGCATGCAGCAAATTTTGTAACCCCCCCTTTCCCAATCCCCCCCATTCCCCCCGACCCGAGAGGCTTAGATAGCTGCGCTCCCCCGACAAGGCGCTTGACCGCTGCGTGACGCCTCGGCCTGCGCCGCGTGCGGGCGGCCCGAGGCCTCGCACCCGGCGCGCTCCGCGCCCCGCCGCCGACGGCCGGTGCGCCGCAGAGGGCCGCCGCGGACAGCCGGCGCGGGCGACCGCCGCGCAGCGGCGGCCGGGCGACGATCGGAGGAAGGGCCCGTCGAGACGACGACGACGACGACGACGACGACGACGACGACGACGACGACGACGACGACGGCGACGACGACGACGACGACGACGGCAACGACGACAACGGCGACGACGACGACGATGATGTCAAAGACGACGGCGACGTCGGCGGCGGCGACGACAACGACGACGGCGGCGGCGACGACAACGGCGGCCGTCCCTGGCGTTTTGTCGCTGGTCCCTCGGTGAGGCCGAAACCAGCTGCATGCAGCAAATTTCGTAACCCCCCCTTTCCCAATCCCCCCCCCTTTCGTCTGGCCCGACAGACCCGCCCCGAGACGCGAGCCAGCCGGAAGGGCCCCTGGGGGGCCGGGGAAGTCCAGGCTGGCCCCATGCGGCAATCAGAATGGCCACCTGAGGCCCGGCCCCCGAACCTCCGAGGTCGTGATCGTTGTCGTGGTCGTGGTCGTGGTCGTCGCCGTCGTCGTCGTCGTCGCCGCCGTCGTCGTCGTCGCCGCCGTCGTCGTCGTCGTCGTCGTCGTCGTCGTCGCGGTCGTCGTCGTCGTCGTCGCGGTCGTCGCCGTCGTCGTGGTCGTCGTCGTCGTAGTCGTCGTCGTGGTCGTGGTCGTGGTGGTGGTGGTCGTCGTCGTCATGGTCGTGGTCGTGGTCGTGGTCGTTGTCGTGGTCGTCGTCGTGGTCTCCTCCGGGCACCTCTCCGAGCAGGGCAGGCCCGCCGCGGCGCCGAGGGCCCCCGAGCCTCCGAGGGTCGTCCCCGAGGGGCCACAGCTCAAGGGCAAGCCCGAGGCTGCTCGTGCCCTCTGCTCCGCCTCCTCGCCCTCCTCCTCCTCCTCGTCCTCCTCCTCCTGGAGGCAGGGCCCTGGAGGCAGGGCCGCCAGGGCCTTGCCTCCAGGGCCCTGGTCCTCAAGAGGCCCAAGGAGGGCTCCCGAGCTCTGGGCGGACCTTGGGTGGTCAGGAGCGCAGCAGTTTGCGGCCGCCGTCGCCGCTGTCGGTCGTCGTCGGTCGTAGTCGTGGTGGTCCACGTCGGTCGTCGCCGTCGTCGTCGTCGTCGTCGTCGTGGTCATCGTCGTCGTCGTCGTGATCGTCGTCGTCGTCGTCGTGGTCGTCGTCGTGGTCGTCGACGCGGTCGTGGGCGTGGTCGTCTTGGTCGTGATCGTTGCCGTGGTCGTGGTCGTGGTGGTGGTCGTGGTCGTGGTCGTCGTCGTGGACGTGGTCGTGGTGGTGGTGGTCGTGGTTGTGGTCATGGTCGTGGTTGAGGACGTGGTCGTGGTCGTGGTCGTGGTCTTGGTCGTGGTCGTGGTCGTGGTCGTGGTCCTGGTCCTGGTCGTCGTCGACGTCGTCGTCGTCGTGGTCGTGGTCGTGGTCGTGGTCGTCGTCGTCTTGGTCGTGGTCATCGTCGTCGTGGTGGTCGTCGTCGTGGTCGTGGTCGTGGTCGTCGTGATCGTCGTGGTCGTCGTGGTCGTCGTGGTCGTCGTGGTCGTCGTGGTCGTGGTCGTCATGGTCGTCGTGGTCGTCGTGGTCGTCGTGGTCGTCGTCATGGTCGTCGTCGTAGTAGTCGTGGTCGTGGTCGTCGTCGTCGTCGTGGTCGTCGTCGCCGCCGTCGTCGTCGTCGCGGTCGTGGTCGTGGTCGTGGTCGTCGTCGTAGTCCTGGTCGTCGTCGTCGTCGTAGTAGTCGTGGTGGTGGTGGTGGTGGTGGTGGTCGTCGTCGTGGTCGTGGTCGTGGTCGTGGTCGTGGTCGTGGTCGTCTACTCCAGGCCCCCCTCCGAGCAGAGCAGGCAGGCCGCGGCGCCGAGGGCGCGGCGCATGCAGGCCGCGGCGCCGGCGGCGGGCGCGTGCCGGCGACGGGCGCGGCCGCGGCGGGGCGCGCCGGGCTCGATGGCCCTCAGAATGCCTGCGCCAGGCTCGGTGGTAACGAAAGGAAATCTGCGGCCATAGCGGAGGGGGGAGAGGGGGGGGGGACGGGAGGGTGCATAACGTCCTTTTCCTCCTCCTTCTCCTCCTCCTTCTCATATCCTCCTCCTCTCCTCCTCCTCCTCCTCCTCCTCTCTCCTCCTCCTCCTCCTCCCTCCTCCCCTTCCTGGTCGTCGTCGATGCCTTTCATGGCGGCGGCACTGGCCGTCAAGCCTTCACAATCTGCGGCCATAACGGAGGGGGCAGAGGGAGGGGGGGAGAGGGGGGAGAGGGGGGGGGGGGAGAGAGGGGGGAGAGGGGGAGAGGGGGGAGGGGGGGAGAGGGGGGGGAGAGGGGGGGGGGAGGGGGGGGGGGGGACGGGGGGGGCAGAACGCAGCGCCGCCCCCCAAACTGGCGCAGGACGAGCTGCGGCAGTGCGGAGGACTCACTCATTCTGGTGGGGGGGAGGAGGAGGGAAGGGGGGCAGGGGGCACCACGCGCGTGATGGCCAGGAGGGCAAAACAACGTCTCAAGGGTGGGGTAGTGAGATCGCGCAGCTG